TGTGTTGTTGCTCTGAGTTTAAATATACCCCTTAAACACAATATGAACAAACAGATATTAATGATAATAACAGCGCTCATAGGAACTGAAGATGCCATACTGTAGCCTTTCAACAAAAGTTGCTTTTTTACTTCAAACTGCTGATATGGGGAAAACAAATGAGAATTAGATTCTCAAAATTTTAGGTTTTTTTCATTTCTGATAAATATATGTGTGCAAAAAATGAAAAAAATTCTATGACTCATGGTGTATTGTTCAGTTGTCTACCCCTAAAGTAGGACTGTCTAGTGTAAGCCAAGGCACGGCAATAGAATGGTGGAAAGCTTAGCCAAAATAGTAACATTTTCTATTTTTAACTTTTTCATTAGACAATTTAAAGATGTTCCTGTGGATATCAGTGTCCAATTATTAATTAATTTAAACTTTATCAAACATAGACTTATATATTTATATTGCAATTTTAAACAAATTTTAAGATACTGTATTTTATTTTTAAGTGAAGATTGTAAAGATCGAATTGTGGAATTTTAACGTTGCATGTTTTTTTAAATAATTTTATGTAAGTATTTCTTTGTGGAGACCCTCTAGACTGTTATTTTCATTAATATAACATTTAGGTAATCCTGCCTCATTGATTAATGATATGATATATGATATAGTGGAATAAATATTAACCAGTATATATTGAAATAAATTCACAAAAATAAATAAGAAAGATTTATTTGACTTCAAAACATAAAATTAATTGTGTACCTGATCCACAGGTTCGCACGCGGCCAGGTCAAGCAAAAATCCAAAACTGGACTATGGCGATTTAAAATTTACAAGCAATTGTGCCCTCTATGTAATATGATCAAAGTAAACATCGAGTTATCCTACCAATGGAGAAAAAAATGAAAAATTATTTCCTTCATTTTAGCTATTTACCGGCTTTAAATCTGAATTGCAGTGAATCAAATATCGTATTGTATTTATCTTAATAATAATAAATAAGAATTATAAGCTCACATATCCACTAGAGTAGTGCTCAAGGTGCTGCAGAAATACAGAACCAAACATTTTTGTGAATCTTAAAACTACCAGAGAAGAAGCACCTTGCACTTTACCATCTTGGTGTCTCTGATTGTGAAAATAGTACGGTTGATTTTGGCCCTATAAATGATTCAGAGAACCTGGCCTAGCCTGGCTAACCAACCACTGCTGGTGTCAATGATTAATGGATCTCGATTTAATGTGAATTCAATTTATCTTTACCATAAAACTACGAGTAGATTTATGCCCTGCCAAAAGTGATGGCTCTGCCAAGCCTTTTGTTATTTAAGTTCAGATACACTATAACGATTACGGTCTTTGATTCCAGCAGTCATGCATAAGGCTAGTAGTAGTAGTATAATAAAGAATGGTTTACCTACAGTTGTGGGTAAACAGTAGGAAAGGTCGTACTTGCATACATTGTCGAGCGCTCGTTTTTCATAATATGTCTACTATTTTAAGAGGCTGGTGTGTGTATGCACAGTATTGTTCGCTTTTGTCCGCAAAAATATTTCTCAAATGTGTAATTTGAGACCTTCGAAAATATTTTTGGAAAAAATTTGCGGTCGTGCGCAGAGGGCTACACAAATATTTTTTGTATATGTCCTAAAATTGTACTGTAACTGATGTGAATATGTCTAAATACAGAAAAATCACATCACAAAAAAATGTTTTGATTGAAATTAATTTTAACAATTAATATTTTGAGGGTGGTCCTTCCAGCCTGAGTTGATTAGAGATCCTCAATACATAAAAAGTAAAAATACTGTAGAAATGAAATAAATTTAATAGATAATTTAATCTTGCAGAAAACATTTGTTTGTCATTATTTATGATTAAATGAAAATATATTTCCATTTTACAACTTATGTGGTATCTTGATGAAACCTTCAAAAAAAGCATCACAAAACAATTTTTATTAATTTGGGAGTTTCAAATTTCCTGTACTTTGATGATTCAGAAAACATTTTTTTTTGTATTAAACAAGAATTGCAAATCTCTGCAACCATACTATATATTATTATAGAACATATATTAAATTAATTGCAATAATATTTATGTATAGCTGATTATTTTACAAACTTGACAGAAGTTTTATGTATATTAAGTTTTGAATGATCTCCAGTGAATACGTTCTTACTCGAGTGCCAGAGATCTAGAAATGATTGGTCTCGTGTGACCTGAGGCTATCACATGATAGGTCATGCACGACTAACAGTAAGTGCTGTATCCACAACCTTTCAACATTACAGTAATTACTTGTATCCAATGCCCATAGGCCTAGTACATCAACAATTTTACAGAAATATGTATTATGTTTACATGAATATATTTTGTTATTGTAACTACTGTATATTCTACTTATTTATAATTCATCCACACTATAGTTAATCCTAGCCAACTTAAGGTTATATATTATCTCAAGTAATTTCTTAAATTTTCTTTAATTGTATTATGTAGCCACTTGTTTATGTTATTGGCTGAATAAATAAATAAAGAATGAATGAATGGCTGCATAAAGAATGAATGAATGAATGAATGAATATTTATATTAGTATTCCTGTTTTAGTGTTATTGGTACAATAGCCGTTGTTTCTGTGATATCTAGTATATAGAATTATTGATATTGCCATTATAATTCCAATCATATCATCTTAATTATTTGCTATGAAAGGGTCATTCATAATTGTACACTCAGTACAGTATGTTTGGGGGTGTGCTGAGACATAAACCTTGAAATACATTTTTACAAAATAAATTGCTATTTCAAATTACTTATAGTAATTTTTGTGCTGGAAGAAACCTATAAAGGTCAGTGTTGTAAAATCTACATTTTTAGGGTACAGTTAAGGAAGATGATTTTTGTACCTTGTTTAGCGCCGAACTCACCACCTGCCAATAATAATGATTTTATGTAAAAATAAAATTTTTTTGCCAATTAGCACACCCACCACCACGAAAAAAGTTAAAGTTAAAGTTTTTTCTTTATTTTTATTATTCTGCTGCAAAAAATAAGATGTACATTTCTTCCTAATTAATTAAATTTAAAACATTTAACCATACTATTACTACACTGTTGATATCCACCAATGAAATTTTATTTTTATTGTCTCCTCCATCTGGAATTTTTTAGCCAAAACTATTTGCTAAATAAGAAAAAAAAATTTTATATATTTTTTTTTTCGCCCTCCATTGACGATTTTTAAAAAATTAAGTTTGCGAAAAAGTTGTGCCTAATGAGTGATAACTATTATTCATATTATTAATTATAAGGAATTAAAATAAATTAAATTAAATGCCCCTTAAGTTAGAAGGTTATATAAAATTTCAGCTCATTTCCAAGAATTATTCAAAGAAAAATGTAACATCTTATGTTCTATCTGGGCACTGTTATTATTACCGGTATATATTTATTTGTTTATATTGTGTTTACAGTG